CTGCGTGGGGATGCTCCCGGTGAGCTGGTTGTAGCAGAGCTGCACCACTGCACGGCCATGGACACATCAACATCAGCAGCATTCATTCAGAATCAGGCAGGACATGCAATGCAAGGATCAGCAGCATTCATTGATGTGGACCCAAATTTGATTTTTTGAAGCCATTTATGGAAAACTATTGGAGATGGTCTTTTTTTTTCATCCCAATACATTTTGGGGAATTGCAAAACTGCCTGATTTGAGAAAAAAAATATGAGATGGTGTTAGAGATGCTCTAATAAGACTATTGACCAAGATACGACCGAGCAGAGGACGAGAACTAAGGGCCTTTTCCCCAACCAAGCGTGACTCGTAAAGGCCGGGGCTCCCATTCAGCCCCATCGAGCTAACATGTTCGCTTGAATTTATCAGCCAGCTTATTAGCTGTAATCTATATTATTTTTCTCTTCCAACAAAATAGCTTTAGCTGGCTTATCAGCCGGCTTTAATACCAGCCGAACAGATCTCTCCGCATGTGAGCTCAAACTCATCCAGTATGTAGCTAGGGCTTTTATCCTAGCTAAACGATGAGGTCTCTGAAACTGATGGAACCCACGCATATGGTAGATTTGATTAGGCTTTCGCCTTCAAATCTCTCTACCAAACTCTAAACTTAAGCTTAAGCTAGTGTACCAATGATTACGACGTACCTATCGACTCTTTCTCAAACCAAATAAAAAATGGACAAAAACAAAAAAGAATACATTATACATGCGTCATCGTGCACCTGCTTCACTGTATTCCTGTTACATCAAAGAAGCATCCATCGAGCAACCTGCGCACCGGACGTACCGCGCGTACGTACGTACGTACGAACTCTTGCAACCAACATACACATTCTACTTGTTCGGAAAGATGACGCAACGCGGCGACTCTCGCTCCAAGTGGTCGTTTGTGTGTCGTGGCCTCTCCCCGGCCCTCCATGTCGCCAAAAGCACTACTGCACTCACTGTGCTGGTCGTGGTCGTCGCCGACTCGCCGTTTGCCCGTTGCCGTTGCATCACCGTACCCTGATGCTTCTGGTTGGTTGCGTCTTCTTGCCGCCGTCGGCCGCCGTGGACCGATTGGTTGGACTTCCGGCGGATTTGATTCGATGTGCTATGTATGGTTCGTTGTAGCTTAGATGTAGTGTCACTGTGTGCGTGCAGGCCGGCCGGTACTACTAGATAGGTAGCACCCGGCCCCTTTCGGTTGCCACCTTTTGGGCGTGTTTTGGACCAGCTGATCCAGAATTCCAGATCTTTTGCTAGTCTATGACTCTATACACGCTTTGTAGAAAGCTTTTGTTTCGGGCAGTGCATATGCATGCATGCACGCATTTCAGATGCAAGTTGTTTCTTTGCTGATGAGTTGTTTTATTTTTTATTGGACGATGTACACCCACCACATAGGCACACACACATTATTATATGTAAAATGTAAAGTGCTTAGATATATACAAGTAGCTACCAGTTGAAACAACAACATTACACACGTAGTAAGTGGTTCTTTGCTAGTACTAATATATAGTATAGTGCTTATTAGCATCGTCACTGTGTCTGCAATGTTACCTGCTCCACGTTAAAATGTAGTGGCGATTTGGTTGAGATGTTAGCATCCACTGACCACTAGCAGACGGGCCATTTTACACTTGCATTACTTGTCTCTTTTAGTTCGTTTGCTACTACTACAACTAGAAACATACCCCCCGCGCGCTGGTGCGGATTTTCTTAAAAATAAAATTGTTTAGACCTACATGTTTTTACATCGATTCTTATTAAATTGGACATGACAATAAAAGTCTTCTAAAAAAATAAAATAAACAGATTGAATTATGGAACAACAAAACAAATAAATATATGTATGCCTTGTATATTCTATATATTGAAAGTAGTAAGTGCACTTAGTGTAGATAATGTAGATGAAGGTTGAAAGTTAGTGGGCTAGTGTGGTATTAGTGGGAGTGGATAGTTAGTAAGAAACGATATGAATGACTTGTATGTTGAAATAGAAGTTGTAGTGGAGTTTGAAAATATAAGATATATAGATATAGATATAGATATAGATAATTATTTAGGCATCAGTAAAAAAAACCGACAAGCCAAACCACCCGCCTATGTTAATAAATAAAAAAACCAAAAAAGCCTGACGAGCCCATCGATAGAGGCAGAGCTAGGAATATGATTTTTTTTCTTTTTTAGGGACCAATATTTATATCATTTAATTTGATCGAATTTGAAAGTTTTCAATGGAAACTATACGAACTTGGGGGTCGGGGGGGCATTGCCCCCTTATCCCCCTCCCTTTGGCACTGCCCGTCAACAAGGCCCTTTGAACCCATCAACGTGCAGAGGCCGCCCACCCACCCGTGCCACCGCTGCTAGCCACTGCCATTTGTTGATGCACCCACAGACGAATAGTGCCGATGCTATTGTTACGGTTAGATGTGTGATGTGTGCCATGTATTAAATTGGTTTTAGAGTGGTTATTAAATCTAAAACAGGTTAGGGTTTTAGATTTGTGTGGGAGCTCTCCATGGCTGGCGGACTTAAAAAGGGAGGGTTCGGGAGCGGCAGCTGGCCTGGCGGTGGTGGCAGGTTGAGGGGCAATGAGCGAGGCGACGGGGGCGCCACGGAGCGGGCGGTGGTGGAGTGGCGGGGGGTGGACGGACGGCGGCGGATGAGTCGCTAGCCGGGGGGGGAGCGGTGGTAGAGGATGGAGGTAGGGGCGGGTTGGCACAGCTCGTTGAAGAAGAACATGTATTTGGAGAAGATGAACAGCAGTAGAGATAATTGTGCGTGGGGGCTATAGCATCATTAATTAAGCGACTGGGTTCATCAGTAGTTCATTAAAGTAGCTCCCAAATCTTCAAATATGGATGGATGACAATGAACAGGATGGGTACACGGCGGAGCGTCCGCTCTAGGCCACCAAAATGAAGGGGAATGAAGGGGTATCTTCCCAATCATACATATAATACTAGTACTCTAGTGCTTGGCATATGGTCTAAAAACTCTAAAATTCATGAATGCGGCAACCCAACATTGAGAAGCATCGCCAATTGAAATCGCCCGTGCCACGTTGCATGAAGCAAGTCATGACGCCTGACATTCTCAAGATTCCAATCGTGTCGCGGTTCGCCGATTGCCCTAACCTATTGAGAGCCGACTCCGTGAAGCGTGACTTCATGCAACCACCGCCGGTTCATGTTACCAGCCGACGATGATTAGGATTTCCAGAAATTCCAAAATCAGGTAAAAAAATAGCTAAATTTTTTGTTTTAATCCCAAGAAAACCCCACCAGCTAGCCGCATGGTCGCAAGTTACATGTGGCGGCGGTGAAGATAGATTATGTAGTAGTTCACAGCCCTACATGAGTTGATCTAAATTGTAATTTTGTGAATTGTCTAATAGACTGTTCTCCCATTATTGGCCTAAAGACTAACCCTACTCGGTCTAATACTTTGTACTTGGTCTCATTATTCACTCTAAATAATTTGCCGTTGTACTTGGTCTCATTATTCACTCTAAATAAATTGCGATTTGAAGTGCTTGTTATACCAAAGGGCCTCGAGTTATAGTTTGGATGTAGGCCGTGGAAAACTCGGGACCGAGGTTGCGCTACTGACCGTAGCGTACAAGTGCATTGCATTGCATTGGTCGTGTGTCGTCGCCGGACGTCTGGCAAGTGGTAACCACGGCCACGCCACCTGACTCTGGACTCTGGAGCAGTGGAGCGAGTCCGAACCACAACTACCCCAGGCCATGCCTGCACCGTACCTGCACTGTTGGTTGTGTTGGGCCACGACGCCGTCCTGTTCGCTTGAACTTATGAGCCGTACCATTTCAGCGAAATAATAGTATTTTCTCTTACAATAAATCAGCATCAGCATCAGTCTCAGCCGTTTTCCAGCCAGCTGAACAGAGCCGCAGCACCTGCGGCACGCCTGTCACTCACCCACCACCCACTCACCTTTCAGGTCGCCGCCGCGGGGCGACCGCGTGCACGCTACGCTGGCCGCTCCTGGATCCATCACTCCATCACCATGCATGGCGGTGGCGGATGACGCTCGCGCGCGCTGCTCTATCGCCGCAGGCCGCAGGTAGCAGGGGAAGGCTGGACCGGGGCGGGGAGCCTCGCCGTCGCGTCACGTGGACGACGTGACCCTCGCAACGCCCCGAGCCCCCCGATCGACCGAGCTGCGGCCTGCGGGCGCTGGCCGCCCACCACCACGGGTCTGGTCCGCGTCACCCCTCACGCCCCCATCACCAGCCCAAAAAGCGCACCGCTTTTTCCCTACCCTGGCGCGGTCCGAGGTCAACCGGCGGCCCCAGCCGATGCGTGCACGCGTTGACATGCACGACGCAACGCTAGCGGTAGCGCGCGGGTGCCGAATCGCCAACTAACCGCCGTCGGCGCCCGGTGCACGGGCGCGCGCCGTCCGCCGTCCACCTGGTGGGCACCTCTGCCGCTGCGTTAAAGAGGCAAGCAGCAGAGCCACACTTACCACCCGTCACCAACTGTCCGGGCGATGCATGGACTGGAAGGCATCGCATCGCAAATGCACCGTGCCGAGTTGCCCGCGGCCCGCCCATGTACACGCGCGCGCGTCTCTTTCACGCGTCCTCCGCTCCGAGACAGCGTGCGGCTCAAGGCGGTAGCTGGCCGCCGGCTGCATTTCTTTCTCGTGAAGTCGTGAGAGCTAGCTGAGACAGCCTGCTCTGCTCGACCCTGGGATATTTCCAGCGAGCCGCGAGGAGGCACGCACGGCACTATAAAAGCCGACCACCGCCTGCTCCGTATCCCCTGGCCAGCCAGCCAGCTCGATTGCTTCGAGCCTCCACCTCCAGTCGGCCGGCGATCTCTCTCTCTCTCTCTCTCTCTCTCTCTCTCTCTCTCCAAGATCCCACCGAGATAATCGCATAGACCAACCAAAAAGTGACAGAGAGATCCGTTGACACATACTAGAGTCATGGAGACGATGGCGGCGAACGGCGGCCAGGAGGCGGCGAGGTACGGCGGCGCCGGCGGCGGGAAGAGGGAGCTGCCGAACAAGCAGCAGCAGGCGGCGGGCGGGTGCGGGCACTACTTCCAGATGCCGCTGCACTACCCGAGGTACAGCCGGGAGGACTACGAGGCCATGCCTGAGTGGCAGCTCGACCGCCTCCTCTCAGAGTACGGCCTGCCCGCCGCCGGCACCGTCCACCACAAGCGCACCTTCGCCATGGGAGCCTTCCTCTGGGGCGCCGGCGGCGGTGGCGGCAACAACAACCATTAGCCATCGATGATCCATCCATCCATCTATTTAAAGCTGACCACCAGTTTGCCTTCTCTACGGCATCTAGCTAGAGATCGATCGAGACACACCTACCTACTAGTTTCCTTAAGCTCCTACTAGCTTTGCACTACTAGCTCATCACTGCCTACTAGTATCTACTAGTAGTCTAGTACTTGTATCTACTATAGTTTTGAGCTCCAGGTCTTGTTTGCTGTGACATGATCGGCATATGCATGTATCTTTGGTGAGGACTACTCAACAGATAACGAGCTTGTATATTAATGCTATACGTAGTACGTGTACGCTCTTTGCCTTGTGTAATAATGTCCCGGCCGGTTTATATGTGTATGTACTTTAATTTCCATTGGTTATTATGCGTGTGTGTACTACTCAAATAAATGTGCTTTCATGCTCATCTCATGCTTGATGTTAGGTGATCAGCAAGAAAGGCATGCGGGCGTACGCTTCCCAGCATGATCTGCAGGACGTTGTACGTTCAAGACCGATCATAATATTGAACTATATATATACATATGTCAGGATACTGAAGGAGGAAGGCGCGGGATATTGTTGGGCGTCCGGCAACAGGCTAAAGGCGGTTGAGTGAGTAGTGTTGCATGACAGGTGGACCCTGTCTGTATTGGTCATTAGCCTAGTCGGTTAGTGTGTGGGCCCGTGTGCTTAGCTGTCATCACCAACTTGTAACCGCTGGCGAATATATAAGCCAGGCGTCGTGTTTGGGAGGGGCATGAATAGAACTCTGAACCTGAACTTCTGAATCTTCCCTCTGTATTCCCAGACTATTTGTTGTGCATGCTATCAATCCCAAATTCTATGCTATTCTCCCTTTGATTCTTTCCAACTCTTCGATTATCGTTACAACTGGTATCAAAGTCGTCGTGGTTCGATTCTCCTTGATCGCGCTTGTAATCCCCACCGGCTGAATTCGCTTTTCCTCATTTCGTTGGAGAATCGCTCGAGTTTGTAGGTCCAAGACGAGGTTGAGCGTGTCGGTGATCGATCACGGTTTGTGCCGCGATTTCATCGGGAGAATCGGCAAGGCTGGCGCCAAAGCGTGGACCGAGTAAGCTGCAGCAGGATATGGCGAAGACGGTGGAGTTGGCGGGGCAGTTCGAGATCATGATGAAGCAGTTCGTGGGATTCCAGAATATGATGAAGAATTCGTTGGACTCCTAGAACGCGATGGGATCATGGCAGACGAGTGCGGACCAAGCGTTTGGTGAATTGCGTCAACGGGCGGAAGGTACGGCAACATCAATCGATGCTGTATCGAAGCGGGTTGATCTCGCTGCGTCGCGCATGGATGCTCTGGAGGCGCGACTAACGATGGCTCCCACACTGATTCCAACGGCGCAAGCAACACCAGGTCCGAAGGTCGTCGACCTCAACCTAGCTCTGGGTTCGTCTTCGAGCGTCCCTGCTCGAGGCGAGGAGCAGCCCATGGGGCCCGGCGAACACTGTGGCGGGCTCCACAGACCCCGGCCGCAGGACAAAACCAAGGATACGTTCCATGATTCGCCCCCTGTGTTCGTTCTGCCTGATGATGTTCCTTATCAGCGCTCCCCACCTTTTCCTAAAATGGATTTTCTGAAATTTGATGGTGAATTTCCCCGTTTGTGGCAGGATCAATGCGAGGTATACTTCGAGGTTTATGCGGTTCACCCATCTCTGAAGACTCGTTTCGTCACTCTCAATTTCAAAGGGGCAGCAGTGACATGGCTTCAAACTGTTCAGAGGACAGGAAGGAATGTGGACTGGGACAGGCTGTGTGAGTTTGTAATGGAGAAATTTGACAAACATCAGTACCAGCACTTGCTGAAGAAGTTTGAGGCATTAAGGCAGAAGAGTTCAGTTGAGGAATATCAGGCTGAGTTTGAAAGGTTGGCTCAAGGACTCGTTCTGTATAACAGTGGCTATGATGATACATACTTCGTGACTCATTTTGTGGTCGGGCTCAAGGATGAGATTCGTGCTGCAATTGCACTGCATCGGCCTAAAGATGTGGATACAACCAGTGCATTGGCTTTGATTTAGGAGGAAGAGTTGTCTCAAAGCCGATCACGCTCAGGTGGAAAGGAGTTCAGTAAGAGTTCATGGAGACAAGGTTTGGACAAACACAAAGCTGGAGATACTGATAAAGGCAAGCTGAGTCAGCAGAAGACTGAATCTGAGGATAAGCTATCTGCACTCAGAGACTTTAGGAGAAAGAATGGGCTCTGTTTTAAGTGTGGCACTAAATGGAGCAACACTCACAAGTGTCCACCTCAGGTGTCAATACATGTTATTGAGGAGCTATTGGATGCTCTGGAAGCTGGTGAAGAATCTGTTGTTGATATAGGTGAGGAAGAAGAAGATGAGCAGGATGAGACAGTGTTGGCAGTGGGTCATGATGTCACCACTAGAGCTCTCAAAAGAAGAACTATGAAGCTGTGTGGCAAGATTGGCAAAACTAATGTGCTGATTTTGGTTGACTCAGGCAGTGTGGGGACTTCATTAGCCAACAGCTAGCATCCAGGATTTCTAAGAAGCCCATTAAGTGCCATCCTACCAATTTTGTGGCTGCAAATGGAGGGCCCATGACATGCTCCCAGAAGATTGAGGATTTGGAGTGGACTGTTGAAAGGTCCTAATGGCTAGAGGGGGGTGAATAGCCTATTAAAAATTTCTACAACAACACTTAGCAAACCGGTTAGACAATTATGAGATGAAACAAGTGTTGCGCTAGCCTACTAAAAATGCAAGCCACCTACCACAATTCTAGTTTCTATAGTTTCTAACCACACAATGGCTATGTCACTATACTAAGTTAGTGTGCTCTCAAAGGCTAACTAAAGAGCCACACTAACTAAACTAACAAGCTCTCACAACTGGCTACACTAAAGAGCTTGATAACTAGTTTGCGGTAATGTAAAGAGAGTTAGAAAGATGGTTATACCGCCGAGTCGAGGAGTGAACCAATCAATCACAAGAAAGAATACCAATAAAGACCAATCACCTCGGAATCAAATGATGACACAATGATTTTTTACCGAGGTTCACTTGCTTGCCGGCAAGCTAGTCCTCGTTGTGGCGATTCACTCACTTGGAGGTTCACGCGCTAATTGGCATCACACGCCAAACCCTCAATAGGGTGCCGCACAACCAATACAAGATGAGGATCACATAAGCCACGAGCAATTCACTAGAGTACCTTTTGGCTCTCCACCGGGGAAAGGTCAAGAACCCTCACAATCACCATGATCAGAGCCGGAGACAATCACCAACCTCCGCTCGATGATCCTCGCTGCTCTAAGCCATCTAGGTGGTGGCAACCACCAAGAGTAACAAGCGAATCTCGCAGCGAAACACAAACACCAAGTGCCTCTAGATGCAAACACTCAAGCAATGCACTTAGATTCTCTCCCAATCTCACAAAGATGATGAATCAATGATGGAGATGAGTGGGAGGGCTTTGGCTAAGCTCACAAGGTTGCTATGACAATGCAATGGCCAAGAGAGTGAGCTAGAGCCGGTCATGGGGCTTAAATAGAAGCCCCCACAAAATAGAGCCGTTGTACCCCTTCACTGGGCACAACTCGGGGTGACCGGACGCTCCGGTCAGATCGACCGGACGCACCCTTCCAGCATTCGGTCAACGGATGACTGCCACATCATCCCTTTCCTCAAATACTGAGCGCTCGATCCCAATGGTCAAGTGATGACCGGACGTAGCACAGTGCCACGACCGGACACAGGACCCCAGTGTCCGGTCACTTCCAGTAAGGTTCCAGCTGCGACCGGGCGTGTCAGTTAGATCATGATCGGACGTAGGACCCCAGCGTCTGATCATTTCCAGTAAGCTTCCACTCACCCAGCGTCCGGTCACACAGTCTCCTCTGTGCACTGCCACGCCAGCAGGACCAGATGCACTCATCCAGCGTCCGGTCACTCTGTGAAATCATGTCTTTTCTGTATAGGGCGTCGGTGGCACTGTCGGACTGTCCGCACTCTACGGGCGGACACTCCACCGGTGAAGTTTCTTACCCTTGCTCAAATGTGCCAACCACCAAGTGTATCACCTTGTGCACATGTGTGTTAGCATATTTTCATAAATATTTTCAAGGATGTTAGCACTCCACTAGATTCTAAATGCATATGCAATGAGTTAGAGCATCTAGTGTCACTTTGATAACTGCATTTCGATACGAGTTTCACCCCTCTTAATAGTATGGCTATCGATCCTAAATGTGATCACACTTACTAAGTGCCTCGATCACCAAAACAAAATGGCTCCTACCATTTATACCTTTGCCTTGAGCCTTTTGTTTTTCTCTTTCTTCTTTTCAAGTCCAAGCACTTAATCATCACCATGGCATCACCATCATCATGTCATGATCTTCATTTGCTTCACCACTTGGAATGTGCTACCTATATCATGATCACTTGATAAACTATGTTAGCACTTAGGGTTTCATCAATTCACCAAAACCAAACTAGACGCTGGGTTTACTTTGCATGGGCAGAGAATTACTTTGAGAGGCTTATCTCTTGGTCTTGGCACTTGTACTCAAGTTAGTGGGGCTAGGTTGAAAGGGTTGTTGACCAGAAAGGCTGTGACTCAGTGTATTCAGTTTCACACCATTGATAGATTTATCTACCCAGTTCAGATGCAACAGGCTATCAGTGCTATCACTATGCCTTCTACACAGGCTGTTTTACCTGATATACAACATATGCTAGATGTATATGTAGACCTTTTCTAGGAACCCAAGACATTGCCACCTCCAAGGCAATTTGACCATCACATTCAGTTGGTACCTAGGGCTCAACCAATTAATGTTAGGCCATATAGGTATTCTCCTTTTCAGAAAACTAAAATTGAGCATTGGTTAGCTGATATGTTGAAGCATGGCATTATAAAACCTAGTGTTAGTCCTTATGCTTCTCCTGTGTTACTGGTTAAGAAGAAGGATGGGAGTTGGAGATTTTGTGTTGACTATAGGCAGCTTAATGCTCAAACATTCAAAAATAAGCTTCCAATGCCTATTGTAGAAGAGCTTATTGATGAATTAGCTGGAGCTAGGTGGTTTTCAAAACTTGATTTCAGGGCTGGATATCATCAAATTTGCATCCAACCTTCTGATACCTTTAAAACTACATTTAAGACTCATAATGGGCTCTATGAGTTTTTGGTGATGCCATTTGGTTTTAACAAATGCTCCAGCAACATTCCAAAGCATCATGAGCATTATTTTTGCAAAGTTGCTGAGGAAAGGGGTATTGGTCTTTATGGATGACATACTTATCTATTCATCCACCTTGGAGGAGCATATGCAACTGTTGTAGCAAGTTTTTGACATCCTCAGAGCTCATCAATTTTATATCAAGTTGTCCAAGTGCTCTTTTGCCTAGTCCGAGGTGGAATATTTGGGGCATTACATCTTAGCTCAAGGTGTTTCTACTAAGCCTTCCAAGATAGCAGCAGTTCAATAGTGGCCTCAGCCTAAAAATCTCAAGGAACTTAGGGGCTTTCTTGGTCTCACTGGCTACTACAGAAAGTTTATTAAGCATTATGGTATGATCAGTAGGTGAAAGCTCTAGTTTGGTTTTGGTAAATTGATGAAACCCTAAGTGCTAACCTAGTTTATCAAAGTGATTATGAGATAGGTGGCACATTCCAAGTGGTGAAGCAAATGAAGATCATGACATGATAATGGTGATGATCATATGCTTGGACTTGGAAAAGAGGAAAGAAAAACAAAAAGCTCAAGGCAAAGGTGAAATTGATAGGAGCTTTTCAGTTTAGTGATCGAGACACTTAGAGAGTGTGCTCACATTTAGGATCACATTTAAGAGGGGTGAAACTCGTATCGAAATACGGTTATCAAAGTGTCACTAGATGCTCTAACTCATTGTATATGCATTTAGAATCTAGTGGAGTGCTAACACCCTTGAAAATGTGTTGTGAAAATATGCTAACACACATGCACAAAGGTGATACACATTGTGTTTAGCACTTGTGAGCAAGGGTAAGAAACTTCACCGGCGCCCTATATAGAAAAGATAGGTTTTCACAGAGTGCACCGGACGCTGGCCTCAACTGGACCGAAGCGTCCGGTCAGTGGAAGCAGTGAAGACGCTGGCGTCGATCTTTAATCGGATGCTGGGTCACTTCATGACCGGATGCTGACGGGGTGCGTCCGGTCCTGCTAACGTGGCAGCGCACAACGAAGAGGGTGACTGATCGAACGCTGGGTGAGTCCGATCAGGGGTAACCGGACGCGTCCGATCATGAAAAATTGTCTCTAGATGCTTACTGGAAGTGACCGGACGCTGGGGTCCTACGTCCGGTTATTATCAACTGGACGCGTTCGGTCGCGAATGGAACATTACTGGAAACGATCGGACGCTGAGGTCCTACGTCCGGTCACCTCGAAGCAGCGCGTCCGGTCACAACTTAAATGTACTGATGACCGTTGGGATCGAGCGATCAGCGTTTGAAGCAGGTGCCACGTGGCATGAATCGCACGACCGGACGTTGGGGTCCAGCGTCTGGTCGATCTGACCGGTACGTCCGGTTGCCCCGATTTTCAGTAGACTGAGGATCCTATGGCTCTATTTCGTGGAGGCTTCTATTTAAGCCCCATGGTCGGTTCAAGCTCACTCTCTTGGCCATTTTGCATTGACATAGCAATCTTGTGAGCCTAGCCAAAGCTCTCCCACTCATCTTCATCATTGATTCATCATCTTTGTGAGATTGGGAGAGAATCCAAGTGCATTGCTTGAGTGATTGCATCTAGAGGCACTTGGTGTTCGTGTTTCGCTGTGGGATTCGCTTGTTGCTCTTGGTGGTTGCCACCACTTAGACGGCTTGGAGCAATGGTGGAGGATTGGCATGAGTTGGTGATTGTTCGTGGCCATCTTCGGTGATTGTGAGGGGACTTGTGCCTTCCCCGACAGAGCGCCAAAAGGTAACCTTAGTGGATTGCTCATGTCATTGAGTTACCTCACTTGTGGGTATGTTATTACGGTGTCATATTGTGTGGACGAGGTTCGTGCAACACCTCTTAGCCAACGAACCACCAAGTGTTGGTCGACACAACGGGGACGTAGCGTGTTGGCAAGCATGTGAACCTCAGGAGAAAATTGATTGTCTCTTGCCCTTTGGTATTCTCCCGGTGATTGAGTTAGTATTCATCTTATGATTGATTCACTCCTCTACACGGCGGTATAATCACCTCACTAACTCATTTACATTTTCCGCAAATTAGTTGTAGCAAGCTCTTTAGTGTAGCTAGAATTGAGAGCTTGCTTTGTAGCTTAAGTTCATCTAGTGGAGCTCTTTAGTGTAGCAATTGTGAGAACTCTTAGTGAGTAGTGACTTAGTAAATTGTGTGTCTAGTAATCATAGTATCTAGAATTGTTGGATAGGTGGCTTACAACCCTTGTAGAGCTTGAGTAAGTTTGCTTTTCGCTATTTGTTATACTAATCAAATTGCTTTAGTTGGTTTGTAGATTTTTAAATAGGC